AGCAGACTCAAGATAAATATTTGTGTACCGAGAGACCACTATCTGACAATGCTACAACCCCAGTTGCTTTCCAACGTTCTAGCCGGCTCTTCGTGATGGGTTCCTCTTTCTTTCCATATTTCATTCCTTTCGTGTTATCAGCTGCAGCTGCTCCCTTAACACCAGGCAACACCATTGTTTCCTTTTTAATGAAGCCATCCTACACACAGAGGCATGCAAACATTATATACTCAACTCTGATTCGAAACAGCTCAAAATAAATAAGCTACATCCCATTTATGTTTTTCCCTGAATACAAAGGTTTGATATGAAAACATGACATACACATAGTTTCTCAAAGACACAAATTTTACCCCTTGGTGAAGACCCTGAGACGCCATGAGCATAATCTTGGACCCATCACCAATGCCCGACGAGGCCAGGGTCAATTCGTCCGCAAGAACTTTTCCTGTAAATTGTTGCAATACAAACCAACAACTCACGGACCCCACATGACAGATCGAATCAGAAATGAAAACTAAAGATGTAATCAGGGACAAAACCCTTGAAGATGAGTTTTTGGCCTCGAGGGAGAACGTTGGTGAGGCTCTGAAGGTGGAATTTCAGGTCTTTGACGGTAGAGCTACCGGCGATTTCGACAGGTATAGTGCGGCCGCTGAATTTTACAGAGAGCTTTACTTCATTTGCCTCCGAACCTTGAGAATCCATTGTTTTGCTTTCAGTTAAACACTCACAACATTGACATTGTTTAGGGGTGGTTGTGATATAAATCAATTTGACTTAATTTTGACAAATTTGGTTGAAATATGTTTGAGTTATATTTTGAGTTTTTATTAAAATAATATTTATAATAAAATAATTAAAATTTTGATTTAGCACTCAAAATAGCTTGATACGGCCTGAGTAGGTAGTTCGGGTAGGTCGGTCTGGGAGAACTCTGACATGTTCATAGATAAGTTATCCAATCAAGGAGTCCGTATGCGGCTTAAGGTACTGTTCAGTATGAAGAACAAAACTTGGGGGTGTCAACCTCCAAAAGCTCGGCAATAAAGCCGACCTCAAAGTATCAAGGTCATAAGATTTGAGGATAGGTTAGACCTCAGGATGAGGTCAGGTCTGATCTCGGGTAAACTGCAACAAGTAGGTCAGGGGGTCGTGGTCACGACCTAAGGATTTAAGGGTTATAAAATAAAAGGGACCAATGATAAGAATCATGTATTGAATACTCGGATTGTGGAAACCTACACTAGATGGTCGTTGGTTACACACGAATTTGGTGCTCAAATGAGCAGTTTTTGTTTGGTTATCCAAATGAAAAACATAAGAGTTGTAAAGGGAAGAAAATACACAAATTGCAACTAAGGTCCTATAAATTGCAAAATGCTTAAACTAAGCAAAGAAATCGCGAATTTGCAGCCTCCTTCTCATCCTCGGTAGGATGTCGCACACACGACTGATCTCGCGGGCACAATGCCTGGTAGACCCTCGGTCTCTGTCCACTCATGACGGGAGTCACAGCGTGATGGCTCACACAACGTCTTCTACGTCGCGAGTGCGATGGAACGAACTGGGCCCGCGGTGGTCTGGAGGATCGCGATGGCCTGGGACGTATGCTGCTGCAATTGCCTCGTTGGCCCACCATCTTCATACGCTTGTGTCTGACTCTTTGATGTGAGAACGTCGGGCTATATTATACGCATTCTTGAGTATCCGCCTTTCGTTCACATCAGCATGCAACCACTCCACGTAATTTTATCACAATGCAAAAATATCACATCACATAATATATATAATATATTTTAAAAAAATATGTAAGATATTATCCAATCGTCCATAACAATCTTATTGGTATTACTCAAAACCAGACCAAATATCCTATTATATTAGATGGAAACTCCAAAAGTTAACACTTGAGACAGTTTGGTAAGGCTATTGACATGTCAACCGACACAAATTAGGTTGTTTTAGCTTTTATGACCAACTTTGTTAATCAAGGCATTGAGATATAGGTCTTTTTTTTGTGTTAATCCAAAATTTGGTTGGTATTTATTACAAATCGGACATTTAAGTCGTCTTTTAGTGTGGGATTGTAAAAGCATCTTTAATAAGACAAACCCATAAACCTCCTTTCTCTATTCCCAATGTGCCACATTAGTCAAAACCTCATTTTTACTTCTACATCCATAAACCTCCAATGACAATAAACTTCACAAACCATATTTTTTGTGGGTCCCACATATTTTTCACTTACTTTTAATTGATACTATAATCTTATATTTTTATATATTTTAAGACTACTCCACTTTTTATTTTTATTAAATTTAAATATGTCATATATATTCTTATAAATATATATATAAAATAATATAATTATATTAGAGTTTGTTTTACTTTCTCTTACATGTAAAGTTTGTTGGAGTTCGTTTTCTCTTCGAAAATACCTCATTTTCAACTATGTTTTTCGACAACAATTGCAACTCATTCTTATTTCAAATAATCGGTTTCGTTTTTCTTAATTCGGGTTGTCAAGTAATTCTTTTTTTTTTCCAACTATTATTATTTATTTCTTTTATAAATTCAAACTAAATAAAAATAAAGTATTATATATAAAAATAATGCAATAATACATCACAATATAAATTTACACTTTGCACTTGTGAAATTAAAATTCAAAGTGGGGCACAAGCTGCAGAAGTGGGGTCAAAGCCCTTCACTTGAGTTCTAGTGCGTGCATGTACGTCCAATACAACTTTTTCCAATAGTGTGTCACACTCATTTTTCATGTCATTTTATTCTTTTTCCAATTATTATATTTATGAGGTTTTTCAGGAGCTTTGAATTTCCAAACCCGTATCAAAATTTTAAACCTCAAACCTTACCATTCTAGTGGTAAACCTATCAGCTTCAGGTTTGTAAACTATCCAAAACCTGTTGTTAAAGATGCTTTAAGGGTGGAACCTTTCAATCTTGAATTTCTTCGAGTAATCAATCGGACTACATGTCATTTTCATTTTTGATGTATATTGCAAACAAAATATAGTTGCTTGGCAAAATATTCTGAATCAAAACACCATGATTAACTTGTTAAAAAAAAGAATGATTTATTTACTAGTGTATATTCTAAAAAATATACTTTTTTTTTATCCCGTTCTGGACCGATCTATCAACTCAAGATTCAATCGGCCTCAAATCAGACCCAACTTAGATTGGCCATTCAAACTGATCAAACCTTGAACAATTCAATCAAATTAAATCTCAATTCAGGTTATTCGGACCGATCAAACCTTGAACTATTCAAGTCAATTATGAAAACTTCGCTAAGAAAAGAAGTTCATAACTACATTTTAATCTTATCAATATGTCGATCTGCTTCTCCGTTAAGTTTTCTTTTTTTTTTCTTAACCCACTCTCCTTTGAGATCCAATCTATTGACCCTTTCTAAGATTTTTGTCTTCCCAACTACCAAACCCCTCTGTACAATCTTCGCCAAAATTTTCTACTCCTTTTAAGGGACTGAAGAAAAAATAAAAAAAATGAGGAAAAATAAACAGATTTCAACCGCCCCTCCGCCTTCACAGTTAGCCACTCCGGCTTAGATGTAGCCGGTGACGCCGCTGGCACAATCACACATTTCGTGCATGCAAGATCGCATTCGAGATGTTGTTCAGCGTTGTCATCTGCGAGGATGGACTCATCTTGGGGTCTTCTTGTCGTCGTTCACAGCCGAGTTTTCGCAGTTGAGGGGATGTGATGGCGACCCTTTCTTGTTCAAAAGTGTTAGATATTACTATAACAATGAATTTTACTTCAAGTCCCACTGGGCGTGCCAAATTTGTAACAATAAATTTTACTTCAAGTCCCACTGGCCGTGCCAAATTTGTGACAATAAATTTTATGAAAAACATAAAACTTTTGTACAACTTGAATTTATTTCGATCAAACGATATTGCGGGTACAATCTCTATATGGAACCCTCTGGTTCTTCTCTTTTCGATCTTTAACTTGAATTGGATTTTCAAGAGAATTATTGAGAGCTCTTTAAATTGAGACTTTGATGTATGAGGTGTTGGATTTTTTGAGGTGTGTTGGAGTTTTTAGGAGAACCCTATTTATAGGTGTAGGAGAGAGAGTCTTAGAGAAGAAGATATCAATGTCCTTCTTGATTTGATATATCTTTCCTTATCCTAGGATTTGACTTGGTGGACAAGAAATAATAACATTATTAATTATATATCTTATTTATCATGGATTTATGTCCCAAAAATAAATAAAGACATTAATTAATAAAATATTAAAATTTCGATGTCTACAATTACCATCGTGGTGTCTGGAGTTTCTGGATGTGTTACTTTTGGGTTGTGGTAGTGTTATTTTTTGTGTTTGACTCTGATTTGCTGGCTCAGTTGGCGAAGCTTGATGGTGGTTGGGGAGGGCATTAGTTCATAGTTAGTTTGTTTTATTACTAGTTTGTTCATATTTTGTTTTGCTTATTTATTTATTTATTTATTTATTTATTGTTGTCAGTCACCTTGTGGAGCTTGCAAGTCTTCTTTATGGAGCAGCTTAGTATCATCTATGAAGTTTTTTTTTATCCTTAGCTTAGGTGCATTGTAGGGTAGTTCCCTGTGGAGGGGTAACACTTATGTTAAGTGACTTCTCTTGGTTTGTCTAACTAATAGTTAGAATGATTATGTAACTATTTGACTATCGTTTGTACCTTATTTGAGGTTATATAATAGTATTTGACCAAAAAAAAAAAAGAAACTACATAATTGTCTTGAATAAATTAGTATTCGTAATATAATATTTTGAGAATGACTAAAAAGTTGGTTTTAATTTGCTTCTACACTAAAATAATTGTTTTATCTTTATAGCATCCTATTATGTATTCTACATAGTTATAGTTCATTGAGAACAAAAAAATGGAATTTACCAGACCATGAGAGTTGAGACCCACCGCTGATATGTAGGCGACTTGTATACGTACAAACACACGTAGAGACCATATATGTCACGCAAACTCACAAATAGCTATGGTGACAACTCACAATACAGTCCATATATATACCCGCACATATACTTACAAAGTGCTTATATAGAGGCAGGGCAGAGCAGGCCACGAGCTGAGATTCCCAATTGACAGTGTTTGTTTGTCATCTCTCTCAATGGACCCGTCGTTTATTCTCGCTCCCTAGTTCTCCACAGTACTACGAACTACTTTCTCTCTCTCAATCTCTCTCTTTTTAAATCAAGTGAAATCCTGCGTCATTCTCGTCATGGCTTCGGTGTTCGAGTCTGCTTGGACGGTAACTGCTTGCGGTTTTCATGTTTGTTCAGCTAGATTTTGATATTTGCGTTTGAAATCTGTTTTTAATTGCATTGACGGCCGTCGCTTGTTGATCCCGTCTGGTACTGATTAATTTGCTGTGAGAACTTTTTGTGGGTTGAATTGTCTGTCATTGGGGTTTTGATTTCTGTCATCTTTTTTTTTCTGATGGGTATCTAAATTACATATTTTCTGTTAGTGGGGTGTGGTTCAAGTGATTAATGCATGTAGAAAAGGCTGTTCTTTATATGAATAGATTGCGTCTGGAGAGTTCTCATGTTTTTCTTTTTTCATTTTTTCTCTTTTTTTTCTTCGTTTTGTTTGTATTCTTCTTACTGCATGTGAAGAACACTATTTGCATTATCTTGCCCTCAATTTTCAACCGGTGTCTCAATGATTGGAGCGGAAAAAAATCCTGTGGATCTGTATTTATTTGAAATTAAATCTGTAGAGACATGTAAGATGGTGGATCTAGATTTTGGTGTCACTACTGCCAGTTACATAGAGAGCATCTATAATACTGCCAGTTGATGCGTAGATCCCAGTTCGTGTTCGCTGAATTGAGGCATTTGGCTTTCGATGTAACATGTAATATTCTGAAAATATCAATTGGAACTACACTTCATAATAAAATACGGTCACTTGATGTTCTACTAATGAGACAGAATACTTCTCAGCTGCTGTCAAACTAGATACCCACGGGTTAAGTAAATGATGAAACCTGGCTTTCTAAACTTTTAGAGTGCAATAGCAAATTGCTATCTATAAACTCTTTAGTATTAATTGTTGTAAACAGCAAAATCTTGGGCCTTTCTTTTGGTATCTTATTCCTGGTACCTTTACACATATCCTAGTATATGTTTAACTCTACTCAGAAGTACTTTAAGTATCTCGAGTTGTGTCAATAGAAGACTCCCTTTTTCCTACACAGATGTACCATTGAGAAAACCAATTAAAATACACCAAGTTTTTTTTTTGGCAATTAGGTGAACGATTTCTTTTTCCAGTTTTCTTTTATAGCTCGATCTTAAAGAACTTGAGAATTCGAGTATTTTACCTGTTTATCATTTATAAATTAGAACCGTTATAATGGGATGCAGTAGTTGCATTATTTATTTATCACTGAAAATATAGGTTTTTGGGAACAAGTTTATGGTGGTAGAGAAGTAAAAGCCTCTTTTAAGGTAAACCTTATGGATGGCCGTTGCAGAGCTTAAGAATGATTTCATTGTTTCTTCTTTATTTTGTCAAATACAAAAACTTAAAGATTGTACGAGAATATCTTGTTCTTATTTACTAGAATCAAGGCATGGGTTTTAAATTGACACCCAATGCTCCCTTTGAATGGTTGAAAAGAAATATGTTTTGCTTGTACGGACATGGAGGATTTTTACTTTGTTCTGTTGGATTAATCATTTTGTTTTTATGTGCTTACCATGTTTACATATGGTTAATTATTCTAATTCTCGTGTTTTGATTTCATGGTTCTTAAATTACATTTTAATATTACGTTGTTTCAGTATCTCATCACCCATTTTAGTGACTTCCAACTGGCTTCTCTTGGAAGTTTCTTTCTTCATGAAAGTATTTTCTTCTTTTCGGGACTTCCATTCATATATTTGGAAAGGGCAGGATGGCTGAGCAAGTACAAAATTCAGGTTTACCCTATTGACTTCATTGCTACATTGTTTTTCTATGAGAGTCGATTATTCTTCTACAATGATTAGTGAGTTTAAGTTTAGATATTCTCCTTGTCCTGTGAAGTAAGTGTAACAATAAGACGACCAAAAATGAAGAACTATTACTTCTTTTTTGTAAGTTGGGTGTAGGTCAATGCTGCTATTTCCTTATTATATTATTCAATATCCAGATTTTTAATAGCTAACCATTTGTGGAAAGAAAACTCGATCCTGAACACAAAAAACTTGTGGGACTTTGCAAAAAATTACCAGAAGAGGAATTTGCTAAATATCCTGTCCTGTTAGTTAATGACCTTAATTAGATAGCAGTTTGGTTTTCCTTTGAAACTTGTTACTGCTTTTGCAGTTCTTGCACTAAAGAACTCAGTCTTAATGAAACATCTCAAGGCAATTTGTTTTTGTGCTGCTCTCTCTATCTTAGTGCAAAAGCTAAGGTGATAATTGTTGTTTTTCTGGTTCGTGCAGAACAAAAACAATACTCCTGCTGCTCAAGAGAAATGTATTACTCGACTATTGCTGTATCACTTTTGTGTCAATCTACCTGTCATGATTCTATCTTATCCTGTCTTCAGAGCTATGGGCATGCGAAGCACTCTACCATTGCCGTCCTGGTATATACAGGTTCTTTATATGCTAGCTTGAGTTTCCAGATTGATATCGTTTAGCATCTGAGAATTTGGAAGCTTGCAATGTAACGTAGTTTGGGTTAGACATTTTGTGAAAATACATTTTTCTTTCCTGCTTTTGGATTTCCCTTTTTTGGTAAGTTCTATAGGACGGCGATTCGCCCCGCGATGCTATACGGTGCTGAATGTTGGCCTACAAAAAGGCAACATGTCCAACAACTAAGTGTAGCAGAGATGCGTATGTTGCGTTGGTTCTGCGGGCACACAAGAAGGGATAGAATCCAGAATGAGGATATTCGAGATAGGGTCGGGGTGGCTCCAATTGAGGAGAAATTGGTTCAACATCGGCTGAGGTGGTTCGGACATCTCCGTTGGAGGCCTCCTGATGCACCGGTGCGTAGGGGAGTTCTACAGAGGGTCGAGGATGTTAAGAGAGGTAGAGGTCGGCCTAGACTCTCTTGGGAAGAGTCGGTTAAGAGAGACCTTATAGATTGAAATATCTCCAAGGATCTAGCGGTGGATAGGAGCGCTTGGAGGCTCGCTATCAACGTGCCAGAGCCGTGACTTTTGCTCCTTTCTCTCTCTCTCTCTCGTTTTTTCTTTTTTTTTTTTCGATCTCTTCCTTTCGGTTCGAGTCTTTTTGTGTTTCTCTTGGGTTTCATCTCTAGCCTACCCCGACTTGCTTGGGACTAAAGGCTATGTTGTTGTTGTTGTTGTTGTTGTTGTTGTTGTTGTTGTTTGTTGTTGTAACCAAATAGTTTTTATTTTTTATTTTTTATTTTTTTTCCTATGGTCATCAGTTCTCATAAATATATTACTAGGCTAAATTTAGGTTATCTCGTAACGCTCAATTACCAACTTATTTAGCATCATAAAGGTGTCAATTAAGTGATCAGTCATTATGGATTCAGTATGTACTTTTTTTTCGGAACGATAGAGACTGATCATTGTTGTTGTAATCTCATTTTTGCACATTGTCCCTTAAATTGCACTAGAAAAATTTATTTATTTATTATTTTTTGTGGAATTACATTAAGAGACTCGGTTCATGCAGGAAGGTAATTTCAACTCAAATTTTATTCTACTTCATCCTGGAGGACTTCATCTTCTACTGGGGCCACAGGATATTACATACAAAATGGCTTTATAAACACGTACACAGTGTCCACCATGAGTAAGTAATATTCAGCATTCGGCTCTTCGAAATTTCCTTGCTACAAGGAATAGTGCACTCATTTTCCTTCTATCTTTTTTACTAATATGCTTGAACTCTGTACAGATATGCAACACCATTTGGATTGACCTCTGAATATGCTCACCCTGCTGAGATTCTGTTTCTTGGTTTTGCTACAATAGTCGGTCCTGCAATCACTGGTCCCCATCTCATAACATTATGGCTTTGGATGGTTCTTAGAGTCCTTGAAACAGTCGAGGCACATTGTGGATACCATTTCCCATGGAGTCTCTCGAATTTCTTGCCTTTATATGGGGGGTTTGTGCTTCTGCATCTTTATTCTCTTCTGTAAGTTTCCACTTTTCTAACCCCATTTTATGTATAAATTTCTTTGTGTTTTTTCAGTGCTGATTTTCACGACTATCATCACCGACTGCTGTACACAAAGAGCGGCAACTATTCGTCTACTTTTGTTTACATGGACTGGTAAGGATTGTTTATGCAGTTTTTCGACACACCTCTCGTTTGTTAAGTGTACTATCATTGCTTTTACTATGTTTGGCAAATTATGGTTTATGGATGAATCATATGACATGTAATAGTATTTCGTTATGATAAGTTATATAATGGTGAAGGTGCATTAAGTAGAAGAGAACAATCAATGATGAAAACCTTGCACGGTATAAGTAACTAAGAACTAAAAATCGATGCACTGGATGGACCATTATTAAATCAGAATGGGTTTGTACTGGTGGTGAGGTGGTCTGGGAGAATCAATTGGCATATTTTTTTTTTGTTTTTCTTCACAAAAAAACACTTCTTTGGGTAAGGATAGATTAAGAAGGCATTCTTGAAGAACACAGCAGAATAAATTCCTACAGACTACTCAATTTCATTAATCTGTTATTCCAAATGTCACCCTAATTATGTGTAATGCTTATGAAGAGCTTATGAAGCCTGATTTATGAAAGTTCACCGTGTAGATGTAGACTTATTTAGATTCTATCTTCTTTGTACCATTTCAGGATATTTGGTACTGATAAGGGTTATAGAAAACTTAAGGAGCTGAAGAGTGGAGATGTGACTACAATTAAGGAAATGTAAGCAAGGATGTGGCCAACAGGTTTGTGGTATTGGAGCATCGATTTTAACCGGTCGAATTTGGTTCTTATGCAACTTGCAATTTTGTGTTCGATTGCTGTTATAGATAAACATCTTTTCATGTGGAGTCAAATTGCGGCTTTTCATGATGTGTCCTTCACCAGTAGTCCAAATCCATTTCATTTTTCCCTTTTTTTTTCTTTGCTAAACGGGTGTGGTTTTCGTTGGGTGAAATTTAGTTTATGTGACATAATTTATGCATGAATGTTGTGACCTTTCGGACTCGACTGAAAGAGATAGTTCCCTTCCCAGGTTGTTGCAAGTGTAGTCAAAGTAAATACAGTACTTTTAAATTTTAATTCTCATGTGAAGCTTGGCATTTGTTTATATTGATTATGATGTTATGTTTCAGTCAAAGTATCAAATTGAAATAGCTGATTGATAGGTTATTGTACATACACATGATTCATCAGAACAATAATTGTGATGGATATAAAGTTCCTGGAGAATATCCATTTAACTATTCGAACTATATAATAATATTTTTATTGGGAAAATGAGAGAATTCAATCCTAAGGTGTCTACACCAGGTTTTTTACCGTTAGATCAGATCCAGGTTTTTTTTATTCAACGTGGGCTGGTAGGTATGAATTTCCTGAAAAAATGTGTAGTATTATTGGTATTTGATTCTTAAATTGTGTTGATTTGATTGAAGAAGGAAAGTAAGACAAGGAGAATATGTTCCTTTTCTTGTTTTGTATCCAGTCACCACTGCTTATATTGTCCCAGCAAATGAAAAATGAAAATAATTAAATACATCAATAAAATCCATTTCTGGGTTTCCAAATTCACAAAACCCTGCAGCAACTGAGATTCACAAAGACAGCATATTACATCAACACTTAATACACAACAAAAGTTATGTTCCCCTACACAATTGTGTACAAAGTATATAATAAACCCATCTCAAAGTCTTGAACACAACTTTGATCGGCAAAATACAATCTCAAAAACATGTCCAAAGTCCAAATTCCCTCAGCTCATCATCAGAATAATTCTTGCTCTAGTCATCATCAATGTAGATAGTTTCCTGCTTGAACAACCCTCCAAAAACCTTTCTCGTCTCAGTCGTCTTATTATCCTTTTGTTTCGAGACATCCTTCGATTTCAAGCTCGGTTTTTTCACAACGGCCTTCACAGAGGGCAGCGAACGGGCCTTGGCCTGTCCCCTTACAGTGGCCACCCGCACTTTGGGCTCAGGCCCATTAGCCGTCTTCTGAACAGCCGATTTGAGCTGCAAACTCAGATTCTCCCAAGACGAGGTCACACCCTTAGCACGACTCAAGAAGCTCTCTACCGAAGCTTCTGCTGCTGATTGTACTTTCTTCTGGGCCTCGGTTGCCAGGCTGGAAGCCCGAAATTCTTGCTCCTCAAGATTTTTCTCAGCCTCGGCTTGTTCGGAGGCCTTGTTGGCTTCTTCCTCGGCTTTTGCTTTCGCAAGGGCTTCGGCATACTCCATTCGTCTATTGTCCTCTGGGATGGTACTGTGGTTTGGTGAATGGACAGTTAAGAAGAATTACATCAGATTTAAAAAACACAAGTTCTTGTCTAAATTTTAAACACAAATGGGACTTTGTTTTTTTTTTGTTTCTACAAATGGTCATATTATAATTGCTTAAACCTGAGGACTTCTGCAATTTCCTTTGAGGCTGCTGATGGATCTGTGAAGACCTCAACAACCTGGACTTGCACAATAAATGTATAAATAATTTTTATTATTATTATTTTTATCTATTTCGTAAAAGAAATACAAAAACACGAATAATACCTTATTTTCCGCAACGGCCGTGTTGGAGAAAACGTCGGCCACAAGCGAAGCTATCTGCGACTTTGTAACCTGCGAACTGAAATCCAAAATGAACAAAAAAAATCGACACGAAATCGAAACACAAACTCTCTCGTTAACAAAACCGAACACATTACATTACATTACTTTGTAGTCGATGGCAGCTGCCGAAGCAGCAGCAGCAGCACCTCCTTCAGCCGACACAACAACATTGTACGAGCCCTCGAGGGCAAAATCGTCCGTCAGCTTTGTCTTGACGAGAGTGTAGCTTACATCGATCTTCACGAGCTCTTGTAAGAACTCTGCAACTGTCAGAGGCTGAGACCTCGCGAAGAGGTTGTTGAAGAATGACGAGATGCCGTCGAGGACATTGTAGGTGGACACGGGTCCCGAGGAGGAGTCGTAGATTACTGCCACGTGGCCGACTTTTGCCAGCTGTGCGGCTTGGATGACTTGAAGTGCATCGGAAGCCGTGACTTCGCCAGTGGGCCCGTTTTCTGTGGGCCCGATTGTCACGACGACTTTGCTCGCGTTACCGATTGCCTTTGCGATCGATTCCGCGTCTTCGAAGTCGGAGCTGACGGCGTTGAGCCGTTTTGATTCCTCGCCGGAGATTATCTGTCGAGCCATGAAAAATCGATTCTCAAGAAGTAGACAGATAATAAACCCAAATACTCAACTTCATAACCTAAAGCACTGCAATTAGCAGCAGGAAAAAGAGAACAAATAAATTAAAACTGTTATTCTTGTGTGTAATTTTCAGTTCATTCGATTTTTCAAGAAAAAACAGTAAAATCATTCTAGGAATTAAACAAAATGCGGCTAGCTATTGACAAAACCTTGTAGTCGGATGCCAAACGAGCCAGCTCCTGAGCAGCACCAAGGTCAGGGACTCCGGCCCGAACACTGAAACCCCGACGCAAAAGGGCTTGTGCAATTCGGATGCCAGCCTGTCCAGCCCCGCCCGCCACAAAAACCGTACCTGGATCCTTACGCCTCTGTCCGCCGAAACTCAGCCCGGAAGCGGGGTCAGCTGCCACCGCCGGGACTAGGGATTTGACATCCTGGGCCAATTTGGCCAGGTCGAAAAACCCGAGGGCGGGGGGATTCGGGCTCTGGTCGGCCTCCCCATTCTCGGCCCGTTTAGCGAACGGCCCGGCCCGCTTGGGTAAAATCACGGCGTGTCGCCGGTTCTTGAGGTGGGATCTCATGCTGGGAGCCGGGGTGGTCGGGAGGAAGGAATTTGAGGTGAGGGCCGCCGCCATTGATGGGTGTGGAAGAAGGGGAGAAAGCAAGCAAATATGTGCGTGTGTGTTTGTGTATGTATATGTGTATCTATCTGCTGCTTGCTTGAATCGGATTCAGTTCGTTCTTGGTGTGAATCATGCAATCAGGCTCGATTCATCGGAAGTGCGGATTGAGATTTGCGAGCATGGCTGCAGTGCAAACAAGAATTTTCATTTTATTTCTTTTTTTTTCTTCAGCATTTTTGAGTGGCCACACAAGCACAAAGAGGCCATGGATCATGGATGGCTGGCGGAGGACTCGCCCAATCCGGAAGTGCCACGTGTCTGTGAGTTTATCTGCTTAAATAAATCGAAATTTGCTCACCAGACAACTGAATACTCCTTCACTTCGTAAATTTACGAAGATATTTCAACTTTTTTTCTTTTTGGTTTTTTAAATGGAGTTTTGGATTGAAATCTATATATTTTTTTTTCACTTACGGGAACATGCAAATTAGTGTAAAATATAAACCACAAAACAAACAACAATAAGTGAACTTCAGTACACTACGCTTCATTTTAATTTTTTATTTTGTTTTAATAAATATTCGATATGATGTTTTTTATATATTTACAAATTATTATTTTATAATTACTTTACATGTTTTCCAATGGATTGTAAAATAATATTGAGGTCAAATGCATAAAATTATTCATTAAATATATGAGTAGTATTGAAAAATTATCGAATTGAAGTATAATAGATAAGTGGCAGAACAATAAAATAAGATAGATATGTCTGTTTTTGTCGATCTTGCATGATTCAACTTTTATATGTTTAGTTAATAAGATAAATAGTTATATATCAATTTATTAATTTAAATATGTATATAGGTCTATAAAGTAAATTTATCTTTTTAAAAAAGATCT